AATTTTTGTCTGAATCGTATCTGAATAGTTTATTGTTCCAGTAATATTGCGCAATTCTATATCTTTGACACCGTGAAAGGGTGTCCAGTTTCAAGACAATCACAGCAAGCATTTGTGAGAGGACACCATGAGACCTGATCGACACCTAGCCATAATTTTGTTATGCAAATGACTGTGACATCGTTGCAGATGGGAAATAGTAGTAAATCAGCTTCCAAAATCCAATGATATTGATAACAGTGATTAATACATATTATATCTACCATGGTCTCATATCAACTGGAAAATGATATTCTGCCCTATACCAAGTCGAAGTTTCAGTTGTTGTTTGAATAATCTATTAGATGTATTTCCATCGAGTTTTTAATCTGAAGAAGCTTGTGAACGCTTTGCAAGATAGAGCTTGAACAAGCAAAATTGGAATAGTTAGACGTAGAGTATGATCTTGTGATTTTCAGAATTGCTCTTTCCGCAGAGTCAGAATGACATATAATGCTTTGTGCATCAGTAAGGTAAGATTCTTGACGTAGTTACTTGCTTTAGATAATAAAATCACCTCAATTTTTTATGGCCCTTAATGATGTATGTATCAAAATGGAATTAATATGGTGGTCATTTAATTAAAGTTCATTAAATGACTCCTGTATTTTCATTTAATATGCATCATCTCCTTAATTATTAAAGCTTCTATAACATTACAGCTGTGTCCTTGAAGCTGTTTGCTTGTACACTATTGATATATATGTATATAAATAATGCTATTTCCTTTTTAATTTTGCCATAACACTGGAACTGCATTCTGAAATTGGGTTGCTGACCATAAAGATATAGAAATAAGCTACCTCTCAGATCCAGCACTTTCTATAACACTGCAACTTTGTTCTCTAAGATACTTTGTACCCTATTGTTATATTAATAATTATCCTTCAATTTTTAAAGTTTGCTGTAAAATTGCAACTAATTCTCCAAGCTGGCTGCTTTGTATTCTATAGATAAATAAATAATGAGCCTCTATACATAACATTGCTTGCAATTTGTTGTAGCTGAAGCTCATTGCTTTGGACATGATCATTTCAACATTAAAAAATAATTTATGTACCTCAACTATATAACTATATATAATATTTTCTACTCAACTTGTTTTAGTACATTGGCTGATGGAAAATGTCTTTACAATGTTTGTTCTATTGTCTTGATTGCAAATGAAAAATCTTTCCACCATATACTGAGGTGCCTCATTTCAACATTGAGTTATATGAAAAATGTTTCATACTATGCTACACCCCTTTTATTTCTCAGTAAAGACCAAAGTTGGTTATTAAAGGACTATTATATGTCATTATTTGACCTGAAACGAAGCTTGTTTTCTTTTCTCGTCTTTGATGTTTTATTGGTTGATTTCACTTTTCTAGATTTCGTCCATAAAAAATAAATCGTTTAAATTGTATTGTCTGCATAGTTTAACTGTTTTCCAAGTGTTTTTCCTTTGAATCACCTTCGTAAATGGTTTTTTGTTTCGTTTATTTTGCGTTTTGCTGTTTGCATTATTGGAAGTTTCGTTACTTCAACTCACAAGGTAATAAGACTTAGGAACATTTAACCTTTTTCATTATTACCATAAAGTGTTTTAAACTCATATTTACTATCGTATAATACATCTTTTTGTTTTATGAAAGGGTAAGCTTTACAAGTCTTTGAAAAATTAACATGTTTCAAAAAAATAGTCATCATATTGTGGATTTTTCTTTCAGTTACCCGGCTGTTTTAGTGGTGCCACAACTTGTGACCGATGACTCTTTGTTGCGCGTGTCTAAAAAATCATTGCCAAATGCGTTTTCCTGTTGAGACGTGGAGACATAAAGTCAATAAATTCGCCGTTTTATTGCGATCTTCTGCTATTGAACGAAGCTCTGTGGCATCCATCATTCGCTGTGGTGAAGCTGCAAGTGGTGGAAGTACTGACGCAATACGTTCATCCAACGTGGAGCAAGATAAATATTTATCTACCGTAGGTTAGTTGTTTATATTTATCGTGTCAACGCTCGTCCCCTACCCTCACATGTTAGTGCCCCCCCAAGAGCAATGCCCCCCTCTCCCACATACACACAGATCTATTGCCACCCTTGGTATCACAGCAACATATTTTACTTTACTATAATTATGGGTGCGGTTTTGTGGATTCTCGTTTTTTTGAAAATCACATTTTGAATTAAAGTATCCTCGAAAAATAAACGAGAACTAATGAAAATGAATTGTATAATTGTTTTTCTAAAACTAAGTGATTTAGAAATAGCTTGATTTTCTAAGCTATTAATTTATGGATACTATTGATTTTTGTAAAATATTTATCTATGAAATAAGTATTTAGGGACTGTTTCCATTCTTTAAATTTTATTAACATTAGCAAATGTACCTCCATTTCAGAGGCGTAGCCAGGGTATTTTGCGCCTGGGGGAAAACTATAGAATTGGCGCCCCCTCCTGCTTGTATAATCGCATTTTCTTTTACAATAACATTGTATACTCCATTGTATACGGAAAAAACAGCTACATTTCAATGGACTATTATTTTAAGGAAGAAGCAATATTATACAATTCTATTGCATATGACTCACCTAAATATTAATAAAGATAATTCACATAGTCTACAATAGATTTATTTTTCGATTTTACTGTCGCAAACTGGTCAATCACGTTATCGAAATCTGTTGTTTCAATGTTTCTTCAACGCTAAGAAGAGCAAGATCACTGAGACAACCTGTCCCATTGATGCACGCAGATACAACAAAATCAGTTTCAATTTGTTGAACGACCGCTTCACAACTTGCAATTGAAACTGCTATTGTTAACAAAATTTGTAGAAATCTTTTGTAAATTCGAAATACATCATCTCCATAAACACAATAAAACCAAGAAGATCCAAAGGAGTTTCTAGTAGAGCTTCAGTTCGGTTACGGAGCAGCATTCTGCATCACCATTTGATGAAAAGTCGTAGCCATTGATGTCCGTGTTGTAGAATTTGCAAATCTGCACAATTTCGACGAGTTGCATCCTCATCTGTGCCAGATAGAAAGTCTTAACGTCCAGCAAACCAAATTTATTGTTCACGTCTTTTAGTCGTAAAACGTGCTATATCTCATGTTGAAGCCGATCAAATACATTCTTCATCAGCGCACAATTTCTTCTTCTTTCTGATTGACGGCAAATATTTTTCGGCTTCAATTTTTGGCTTCTGGTTATCATTCCAGTTACTAATAACTAGCTCATGCGTCTGGCTGCTGTTGCCAAGGCAATCTTGTTTGTGACTGTTTTTACCCTTGTCGTAGAAATTTTCATTTTATGCCCTTTTTATTCCTGGTGCACGGGACATATGTACCCTGGCGCCCTCTAGCTTCATAGCTTTTGCATTTATTTTTCGTATCAATCCTAAAGTTTGGCTTTAAGCATTATTATGCTTATGTAACGGTGATTCTCTATGCTTTAATTTAAGTGTCTTCAACCTGTATCGGAATAAAGTGGAGGCGAAACATCGTTCACTGGCAGCCAACGTAGCATGTCTAGCAATGATGAATTCACGATCAAATGACAATGCATCTAAACGTGTTTCTGTTGTGGACTCCGTTGACAAAGCAATAACTGAGCAAGGATGGGAGCCTGCTGCACTGTACGTTTTTGGAGACAAAAGCAATTTAAAGGTGAGATTTTTTCCTGAACCTCTGCATCTAATTAGGACTTAACATTTTTTTACCGCATCATTTTTTACTCTTTAAAACACATATAAACACTTTGTGTAGAGTTCGGAAATAAATTCTCCCCCCCCCCCGTTACTCATTTTCACAAAGCTTTCACGAGTCAGCGGTTTCCTTCATAATTCGTGTTTTCACTTTATAATGTAATTGGTTGAAGCATGTATCAGCTGGTTTACGCTGTTTTATATAATATATGTATATTGATGGTTTCAATTGTATTATGATAATCTAACTCATATTTAACAACAGGTTCTCTACTGTGACGTTTCTCAACATGCTGTTGTGTGATTTACAATCGCAATTTCTTTTCCTTAATTGTTATGTATAGTTAGTATATGGTAAGGAAATCGGCACCCATCCTGCATTCCATTTGGCCAAGGCTAGAAGGGATGCACAACCCTCGGAACATCTCGATCCTAAATTCGTTCTTGTTCTACTGTGAACCATTGGATTGTTTAAAAAATATATTAAATCTCAACTAGCTACGATCCAAAGTCAACAGTCAATAAAAAAGAACGTTTTTTCCATAAAGATAAAACAGCAACCTTTGGATAACTGTATCCAACGAAGTATATTTTTTTGCCACGAGAACGTTCTTGAAAGATATGCAGAAGAAAGTATTGAAACATTGACTTTTGCGGGGTTTTTGGTGTATCTCATGCCTATTTTCATTTGTAGTTATCGCTTGTACTTCGGATATCCGGTGCTGTCGTGGATCTTTTGGACATTCAGGGAACATCTGTTCTTGTCTCGTTTGAAGATGGATGGGACATTACTACACAAGTAAGCTTCATTTAAGCACCTACCTTATGTTATTTACAAAAGTTACTTGTTACGTATGCTCCTATAAACCATTGAGGTCTGGCAAAACATCTTTTATATTGGGTCATACTTCATGTAAGATCTCCTTTTAGTAGTGTGGAGTTTGGACTTTGATTATACATAAGTGGTAGAAATTGACACATCAGATTATTATAGTGTAATCTTTCTTGGTGTGTTTGTTATCTGTATTATTATTTTTACGATAGTCAATGGCGATAGTTGTGTAAGCCCTCAATACTCAAGGCAATATCTTACGTTTTGTCATATCCAGTTCCTTTGAAATCGAATGTGTTTTTTTCAGTTCCATTTTAATATGCATATATAAATATTCTCCACTCCCCCCTCCTCCAAATGATCGAACTGACAATGTCTCTGCTTCACGTAAGAACAACTACAGTTAATACTTCATGTTGTTTTTTTGTAGGTGACGTAATTTGCTCAAGTAATGTTAGATCCATACTACCGAATGATTAATGGTTTTAAAGTTTTAGTTGAAAAAGAATGGTTGTCCTTTGAACATCGTTTCTCACATGGCTGTAATCATACACATTCAACGCAATCAAGTGGATTCACGCCTGTTTTCTTGCGATTTCTTGATGGCGTCCATCAGGTTATCATTATTTCTTAAAGTTATCTTAAAAAATTGGAGTTGAGATGGTCCTGTGTCAGTCGTCTGAGTATTGTGCGAAATGTTTTTTTTTATATTACTAAAAAAAACGTTTGACAAAAGCTTTGAGTTAAGCATTAAATTTTTTTTGAAAACTTTATTCGATCAAAAATTTTAGTCATGAAGTTAAGGCGCTTTTCTCGCGATAAATTTGAAATATACATTTAACTCTTAGAAGCAACTCTTTCGTGGTCATTATCTTTAAAGTTTTCTTGCATTATAAGACTCAATAAACCCCTCAATGACTATTTCAATATCTTGTTAAATATCAAACTTTTTAAAGTGCATAGATCAGGTTCAAAAAATAACTTCTCTAGATAGTTGAATTCATTTTAAGAACATGTGCACAATATTTTTTAATGCTCTTTTCGGGCCTAGAAATAAGTTACTCATCGCCATCAGTGACGCACTTAGGAGAACACGCTCGTTTCGTAAAGTAAAAACACCGTATATTATTAAAGAATTTTGGTGGGAAATGTTTAGATATCAATTGTCTCCCATCTTTTTTATTTGCTATAATTCAAAATTAAAGATAAAGTGACTTAGTTATTTGTTCATATTGTTTGTGTTCTTAATTACTTTTTTTATTTTTGCATTTAAGTTTAGAAAAATTACTCACTATCCTTCGAATTCAACGAGTATTATTTACATTTCCTCGCCTATCATCATGTCTCCATGCGTTTTCGTACGTTTTTACTGGATTCAGAGCACGAACGTGTGCAAATGGGTTGGCTATCAGATGCTGAAAAGAAAGATGCAAAGACTTCTAAATCTCACATAAAAAGTCCTTGGGATTACATCGACATGCTACACAAAAAATCATCATTATTTTATAATTTCAAGTTTTCGAAAGAACATTCTGAAAAGGTGAGTTGTTGATTTGCAGCCATATTTTAGCAAATCTTTGCTGCAACAATTCGCATGCAATACAATGAAATTACCTGCATGCTTTTCGGTCATGTAGTTGTGTAATCACTGTCAAATTGATTTAAAACAAGATCAAAGAAGAACAGGCATTTAACTCAGTTTATTTTTCAACAGACGCTTTGTATATCTTTTATCTAACACGTTTATTGGTTAAACTTGTAAACTTCATTTAGTAAATCCTAGAATATCCTTGATTTGTTGTGTTGCTCTTAACGTGACTTTATTAGATTGTAAAACCCATTGAACTAAATAGAACTGTAATGTTACTTTCCGCCAAAAATTTAAAGCCAGCAATTCAACTAGTCCCAATCCTTCCACGCACGGTCCATTTACAGTGATAAGCTATCTGGATTTCACCAACAGAAACGCCTGTCCGAGAGTAAAATTTGGTAGTGTCAATGGTTAAACCTGAATATTTTTCTTTTCTAGACAAATACGAGGACAAATACGTATGTCTGTGTATAATTATATTGTGCGATGTTTTTAATGAGATAGAACAAAATTTGAACAAAATTTGTTAGTGTAAATAGAAAGGTTTGATTATAAATTGGAACGAAAAAAATATTTTTGTTGTTAGAATTTCGCTCACAAACACAAAAATTATAATTTATTGAGCACCTAAAATATGTTTACTAATTCACAAGGACTCGTTTACTTTATTTTTTCTAGAAGATTTTCTTCTCGTAAACCAGATTTAATTCATTATTTCTAAATTCCCAGGTGCTTCGTCCTCATTGCAACGTTTGCAATCTAAAATTATGGAGTTACTTTGTTTCGGAGAATGTCTCCACTTGTCCAGAGTTTGATCAAGAAGTCATAAATGAGACAGAAACTGCTGCCGAGGAAGGACAACAGAAGTTAGAAGACAAGTACGATGCCAACAGGTATAAATAAGATATTGCGTTAAGAAGTAAGCGCGTTTCCGTTTATAATTTAGCAAAGTACCTCTACGATTTGCGTGTTTCCATTTGAAAATTATTGAGTACTTTAGTAGTCAGGATGTTTCCATTTAAACATTATGTAGTGCTTCCATTGTTAGCATGTTTCTATTAAAAAATAAGTTTAATGCCATTCGTAGCTTGCATGCTTAATTTTTTGTTGCAAACTTTACTATAAGTTTGAAAAAGTGATTACAATATTCAACCATGCAAAAATTTTAGAATAAAATAACTAATGCTTCATATTGTTTACTAGACGCTGTCGAAGTGGTATGTTTGCTGGATCGGTTCATTGTGACAGTAGTAGCTGTGCATATCATTTGTACGAATATAATCGCATCGAAGAAGATACTGGCAAACACGCAACTCGTTGGAAAAAAATATGGGAGCGTTTGGAACAGCCTAAAATAACGAAAACGGTATTTATAGCAAATATACTTTCATTGTGACGTGTTGTTTTACTTTTTACTTTGTAGACATTAAGTAAACGTCATTCACTGGATTTTTTGTAAATGGCTTTTGAATATCATATTTTAGGTCTCATTTAGGAAGCATAACTAATTTTTGCTTACTGACGTGTGTGCATTGTGCGTATAAATACCATCACAGACTGGAGTGTATGCATTGTTTGAATACCAGGCTGAAGTGTGTGCATGGTATGAATACCATTGCAGACTGAAGTATGCGAATGGTATGAATACCATCACAGACTGGAGTATGTGCATGGTATGAATACCATCACAGACTGTGGTGTTTGTCTGGTACAAATGAACACCATAACTGACTGGCATTTTTTCTTTACAGTTTTTAACATACAATGAAGAACTTTCCAGAGTCCGTAGTGGTGTACTACACAAACGAGATACGATGGACATAATACTTGAGGTAGTATTTTTGATTCTTTTTCTTTATGATTAATTTATATTGATTGTAGATAATTTATAACTTCAATGACCATTTTATGATTACGTGATCTTGAATCAATATTCTCGTTCATGCAATATACTCGTTCTATTTTGTGATTTTTGATAAAATAATTTCTATATACAAAAAGACTTATGTATTAGTTTGGTAACTTATAAAAATGCACTTTTTTAACATTTAGTTTTGCATTGCTGGTAGCACTTATGCATGAAATTCATTGTATTCATGTTTTTTGGAGTATGTTGTACTCTTTAAGAACTAGAAAACACTTTCTGAGTTTCTAGAGAGTTTTAGAAACACGTGATTGGGAGAAACAATAAATTACATGGCAAAGAGGAACACGAAGTGCGTGTGTAAAAATTTCACGAGTGTTTGTATATAAATCGATAGGAATAGGCAAATATTTTTTTGTATTTTCTTTATGAAATAACGTTTTAAGAAGAATATAAAGTCAATGAATTCTTGAATTTTAATAACATGTTGTTTATATTTTTGCCTTGAAACTTTCCACCCTAACCACGCAGGTTTTTCAATAATTTTGAGAAACTGAAGCTCTCGTGCAATAAAGGGTTTTAGAGACACGGTTTTTTCGAGCATTGCACTTATCAGCACCCGAGTTTTTAAAAGTTTTTTTTTACACAATATGAGATTGGTGTCATGCCGCCATTTTGAAAGATTCTCGAACACAGTTTGTATAAACTTTTAATGTCTCTGAATTCTGATTTTTTGATAAAATCTTGAAAAGTAGTCAGTTAATGCATTACTTTAATCTTCATTTAATTTCTTTTTACTGAAATGGAGGTAAAATTAAGATCTTAATGCTGGAACTTTTGTAAGTGACTTACCTTGTGGCGGCTCACTTCACATGACAACACACCATTTGTACTGGTTTCAGTAAATAATTTGTTTTGTTTAAATTTTCATAATACGTTGATTCCTTTTTTGCGTTAGTTAGGCTTTCCATGCGTGTTAAGATCTTAGCTTTAAAAAAATGTCAACATTGTTGTGTGTTGCGAAGAACAGACAGTAATTGCTAAAATTTGTAATTCAAAATTATTTTTACAACTTTTGCTGCGTATTTATACCTTTGAAGTAGAGATTAACTTTGATACTTTTATAAGATGACATTGTAGAAACTGATTTCACTTAGTTTCTTTTAAAGCTACATACTATGTGACAGATGTTACTTTTATATTTCAGGGGAAACTTCAAATCGAAGATTACAGTAACCAAGGTTTTTCACGACCTCATTCATTTGAACCTCACAGTTTCTTTACGCCAACCAACTGCGATTTCTGTCTACAAGTGATATGGAATATTGGAAAAGGAGGTATGGTTTGCTGTGTATCTATCTATCTATGATGGCCTTGCAGTTGACTTTCCGTTGCATCTATAAACACGCTTCTTTATCTTGTCTACTGTGCAAAGTTTCTATGGAAATTCTGCTAATAAAATTTTACAACTAGCAAAGCTTTATAGCAGAATGCACGTGCGTTCATGTTAGTTAAATATACCCCTAGTATAAATTTAATTTTGAAATGAAAGTGAAACAATCGCAGCCAGACAATATTTTTGTGCTAGATTTATGATAATTATTATGTCATAGGACTGATAATTTATTTCATGATGATTGTGACGCCGCTTTTGTCTATCATGAATTCCAATGAGTGTGTACCGTTGATAATTTAATAATTTAAGAAATTTATTCAAGAAGTCCATCCAAAATAGATTAAAATGGCTTGGCTCGGTTCTGGCATCTTGATACCCAAAAACTGTTCACCACGCGTCGTAGTTATGCTAACGTTTTGTGGAGAGATTTTGGCTCCTGCCACCAAAAATTTTTTTGTATTTTAAAATGTGTTTTTTGTAGGATTCAGATGCACAGAATGTGGATACAACTGCCACGAGAAATGCTTATCACGTGTTCCTAAAACGTGTCCTAATTACAAGAATCTAAAAGACCAGAATGATAGCATGCCATCTACTAGTAACAAAAGCTTACACGAGGTACAATATAGTACACTTGTGAACTTCTATTATTGATGTTTGTTAATTGCAAGCATTTTCCTTCCCTTTTAAAGTTATAATTATATATTATGTAAAGAAAGAAGATATTGATAAGTTTCGCTTTATATTACTCAGTTATACCGCATTAAGCTTTAGTTACACTAGCCAAAGTGATTTATCATGAATTAGTCATTTGAATAATCTTTATCATTCCATAGTCTCCAAGTATGAACAAATCTTCGAAATTTGTTTGTGGTTATCTATGAAAACGAGGTGCTTTATTCAAACAATGGAAGCAACGGTATTTTGTATTGGATACGGAAAGACATCAGGTAATGTTCTTTATTGGCTATTTTAGCGAACGATATTTTGATGGAATGTGATAATGAAAGGTGGAAAACGGTGTAAAATAAAGCTTCAGATTGTCAATGTGTACTGGTTTGTGTTAAAAATTACTATAGAAAGGTTAACTTTGTTGTTTCTTACCATAAATTTGTGCCTATTTGATTTAGTCCAAATAATACTTTGCGATACCTTATTTTTGTGATTTAACGTTAAATTTTTATTGTTCTATTTGTGACATCACGTTAAAAGCAAGAGTAACAAAAAGTGCATTTTAAAAATCGTTACATTACTGACAGAGCATGGAATTGTTAACAAGAAGTTCTAAGAACGGGAGGTCCATGATTTAAAGCTTTCGACTTTTTTGATGGTGAAAATCGCAAAGTTTAAGCTGTGCAAATTATTCGATGCACTTATTTCTAGTTCATTGCAATTTGCTGTCCTTAGCTGTAACATTTTACGATGTCTATGTTTTCACAAATTAATTGGTTTTGTAGCTTCCTTACTATGATGAAGTAAGCGATGTTCATTGTCAAGGTGTTGTCAACTTATCTGAAATTATTTCATGTGAAATGTCACCTTGAATTGTAAGTTTTATTTCCATATTTTGCTCTATAGTCTTATTTCTTCCATGGTTTTGACGAGCTTTTAAAACAATGCTCTATTGACTTTGGTTGCATGACTGAGAAAAACGACTTTTCTGTTAACTTTGGGTTTTTTGGAGTGGGTGTTGTGTGTTCCAAATTAAAACTTCTACTGGGATATTACCTTAAGAGCAAATGTCTTTGTGCACCAGCTTGAATGAATTGAAATGTTTTAAGCTTTTTTGGTATCTGTAGAAAGGATATTTATTTCAGTATATAAAAATTAATAATATAAATTAAGTATGGAACACGTTGCAATTACGTATTTAATTCTACGATAAAACTGTAAACATGATTACATGATTGTAAAAGTGCTGTTATTGTATCGTCGTGTTGTTTTTTTTGTAAAAATTGTGAATTACATTGATATTTTTAGCAAACGAGAAGCAAGTTTTATTCGACGTAAGTAAATATATTTGTGTATCTTTCATCGCTGTGTTGTTTGTTTCAAGCTTCAAGGTGCACTAAATCATCACGAATTTTGATTGGTTTAAATTATTGTATGAAAAACCATTTGGTTAATCGTGCTTGTTATTTTCTGTGAACTATGTAAGCGTGGCTAGCATTAAATAATGGTAATAAGCTATTATATGGACTTTTAAATTTTCCCTGAAGCTTAAAGATGATCCTTTCTTTCCACTTTTAGTTGATTTAGCTTGACATTGAAAAAGCAATCTAACATTTTACGCTGATAACATTGAACCCTGTTTCTAAAACTTTGAAATAAAACCGATGTAAACAATCATGCATGTAAAATACTTATTCTTCTTAAAGACTACTCTCACTGTCTTATATGCTTCTATAGCTTCGTACAGAGAAACGATTGTATAATTTGTATGATGCGACGAAGGAAGAAGCCAAGAAATGGATATCTAAATTACAAAGCTTGGATACGTAGAGCTTCCACGTTCCAATCAGGGATTTCATTATAATCAAAAGAAATGTTGTGCATATGTGAAATATTTTAACATTTTAGAACGCATATTTAAGGTAATTTATGTATGTATTTTAATTTTTTTAAATAATAGTATCATTTTAAGACACGCACACGTTTCAAATTATCATGACTGAAATAACCAATACGAATTTTCGTAGTATTTCCACATGTTACAAAAATAGTGTGACACCAGTTATAATCACTGAAGCAATTTATTTCTCATCGATCGCGTAATATAACAATAAGAGTCTCAATACTATCAAATGGTAGGCTAACAAGCTTAACTTATCTGCTCTGTCTGAACACTACCCCAGTCTAGAGTACGTGATTCCAACAATGATTCACAATAGTTTTTCCAAACAGATTAAAGGTACAGAAGCCAAAAAGGCTTAGTTGATGTCTCCAAGACTTGTAGGGTGTTGTTTTGGCAAAGTACACCACCGTATAAGTCATCTTCAATTTGCTGTGCCTCGTAAATTGTCCTCAATATCTTGTACCCTGTAAGTTGTTCTCATGCAATATAGTTAAACTACTTATATATATATAATAAAGATGCCACAATAAAAACCAGAATAAAACCTTCAGTGCAGTTCTATAAAATATGCTCACGCATGCAAGAAAGCTTCTAGATTATCTTCTAATAATGACTATAGATTTCTATTGAATTACCTGGATGAGGAAAATGTCTTGGATGCAGCTGGTCAAAATATAATGGAGGACGTGAAGACTCTCGTTTGCATTGTGGTTGTAGAACATACTTCGTATTAGGGAAGCTAAATAATATGAAAAGTCGCTGGGGGAGGTAGCGTTCTGTCCTTTTAGCAAAATTTTAGGAAAATTGCATATTGCTCATACATAGTCGGTATATCCAATGTTTGCCACTAAGGGGGTGTTTACATGAATCCGGAATGAGTTTCGATCCGGAATGAACTCATTCCACTTTAAAAGAAATCCTATTGCATGTTTACATGAATCCGGAATGAGTCACAACTCGATCCGGATCGAGTTCATTCCTAGTTTCATTCCGGATCGAAATTTCATTCCGGATCGAAATTTACTTGTTATCTCATGTAAACGCGAATTGAGTTTCATTCTGGAATGATATTGTGATTAATGACGAAGCACGCATGTGGCATGGGTATTGTCTTCCGGCAAATTGAAGCTCGTAAGCAAATAAAGAGGCTAAATGGGTTAAAATGAGTGCGAAGAAAAACAACAATTAGTTTCATGTAAACACGGATTGACATCACGTTTCGATCGGGATTGAAAGTCATTCCGGATTCATGTAAACACCCCCTAATTGAAGAACATTTGTATTTTAGGTTGTTTAATTAAAACCGTCAGTGAGTGTTTTGCTTGCTATTTTCATGTTCATATATAATAAAATGAAGACATATTATTTTTGTTTTGTTTATGTTTCTTTCAAATTTCTTGAATAATTAAACAAGTTTGTGTGTTGCAATTTTCAGCCGGTAATTCAATATTATGCTAAAAATATATCAGCATTTACACTCTTTCTGTGCAATTTAATTTTTAAAGAACATTTAATTATAAGTACCAGAGAAATGATCAAAGTATTAAAGCGAGCATATGCACTACGATAAAAACATCGCAAAGTTATAATTCAAATATACATCTAATGTTTTGCTCAATCAATGTTCACTATATTATATAAATAATAATATGATTAACAACAATAAAAATCATAAGGCGTAATACCCTTGTTTTACATAACAATATATTCCTACGATGGTTCAAATTCCTTTGCATAAAAACATTTATTATACACGGAAGTAACGGATGCGTATAATGTTTTTATGAGATTATTTCAAGAAAGTTGAAGTCGTTATCAGTTCAAGGTATGATACACAAAAAATAAATAAAGTTGTAATTACTATACGTCATAGATGATCAGTTATTTTATCTGTAATATTAATGATTTCGTACTTTAAATATATTCTTGGCTTGCTTTAATTCTCAAGTGTTAAAATTTTTACAAAACCAATCGTACTCAATAAACATTTAACAATTATTTGTCGTGCGTTCCTTTAAAGCAGTGAGTTATGATTAAATTGAAACATGATTGGACGATTTTAAGTTTAAATGCAGACCGGTAGTCGGACAATTCGACGATTTAAAAATCAATAAAAATTATTGGCCCGATTTATACTAGAGACGAATCATCCGTCTGGACGAACTTGGGCAAGAAAAACATAGTTCGTCTTTAAGTTCGTCTGTGTTTAAATACGGGCAAACAGACGGATCATCCGTCAAGACGAATTATCAGAATAGTTCGTCTGTGTAGTGAATTTGCATGGGTAGTTCGTCTTGACGCATCATCCGTCTGTGAGTATAAATGCGTATGGACGAACTACCAAACAAATGATACTTCGTTACTCGCTGTTAGCGGATTTCACCCATAATAGTCAATATGGCGGATAGAAGCAATGATCGTGTTCATGAAATGGTTCATGATTCGAACAAGAAAAATAGGGCTAAGAAGGAGCGAGTTTGGACCGAAACTGAATTAAAATACTTTGCAATTGTACTAGCAGATGAAAAGAAACAGTATGCTGTTCAATTAGAAACGCTAGCATTAAAGAAGTCTGCAACTTGTGTGTTTATGAAGAAATTGCAAAAGATCTTGAAACATACCTAAAATCTGACGAATTCAAAGAAGAAAGCAAACGAAAGAGAAAATTCGAAAATTGAAAGATACCCCCTGGAAATTACCCAGCTAGGCCTGAGTTAAGTATAAGTTTCTAGAAGTCAGTGGCGAAAATTTACAGATCGTGTTAAAAGGGAAGCGGAAAGGCAACGATTGTTGAGCCAGAGTGGTTCACCATCATTAATCCAATATTTTCTGATACCATGGGAGATGGTATGCCTGTAGTGGTGATGTACTATCTTACGAATCAGACAGACAATTCATTGTCAGATTCAGACAAGGAGGATGAGACAGTTGATAGACCAGATACACTTTTAGTAATACCAGCGGCCTTAGCATCAAGAAGCAACTGATAATAGTGGCGATGATGATGTACTAGAAGCCAGTACAAACAGTAGCTCCACACCAAAGGAAACATAAAGCTAAACTTGAAATCAGACCTTTTTCTCAAAAAGAGTAAAAAAAGCAAGCACAAGCAATTCAGAATATGGCCAAGTCTTTTTCTGATATTGGAGAGATGCAACGAAAGCGTTCAGAGTTATTTTCTGAAGCTGAAAAGAAAAGGCAACATGAATATATAGTAATAATAAAATGAGGCCAAATTAAGCCTTGTATTTATTAGTCTTCTAATATAAATTTGAATCCTTCACAGAATGACTAGTATATAGCGTAGGCACACTATAGATGAATTTTGAGTGAATTTTATGTATTTTAAAAATAAAATATTTTGTTTGAGCTTTTACACTAGCCTTTTCAATGTTTTATTTGCGTCTAAGCCATCTATGCGACGACATGTGAATTATATATAATTTAAATAAACTACTTCATGGTAGGTGAGTGCGTACGATTTAAAACTCAACGTGGACAATTCCTTTCTTACGAAGGAACTTAATTGTTTTGTATTTTCCCTTGTTCCTTTTCTTTCGGACTGAAATGTAATGTTTTCCTGAGATATTCACGAAGTTGCTTGACGGAAATGTCGTCGATGCTGTGGGATTTATATTTATTTCGGCAATAAAAATTTATAAAGAAGTCTATGCCCGTATTCTAAAACGTGAATGAAAAAATTGAATGTTTGATCGTTTCATAGTAATTTTCTAAATCATGATAGAAACTAAACTACAATCAAATGGAATTTATGGAAATCTTTCACAAATTGATTTATTGACATGAATGCTGCTGTCCAAACTGTGAATATTTTCAAGAGGGTGAAAAATTTATGGATGAATACACCACTTTGGCGGTTTTCAAAAATGTGGAAACACGTCTTTGCTAAAAAGAAAAACTCGGACAAACATGGCGGAGTAATTTTATAACAATGGTTACGACGAAGAGGTGCGCTTGGGAAACCTGCAAAAGCGATTCGCGGTATCCTGATCGTTTAAAACGAGACGGAAGTAGAAGCAAAGTATTTTTTTTACATTTTCCTGGGAGAAATACCATAGCGACAAAGAGAGCGTTGATTCGCAATAGATTTAGATAGCGTATCTTCATTTTGTGGGAGAAAATGGTCCTACTGTAGATAACCCAGACCCTATTTCAGCGATACAAAGTATTGAGAATGTAAGTGTTGACTGCTCATAAATGTGTGAATTATACGAAAGCTTGCTGAACGTTTTATAAGCTTATACATCATTTTAAATTCATAGAGAAGAAAACTAACGGAAAACGAAAAATCCAATGACGAGGGTATATAATCCGCCACCAAAACGAGCGTCAATCTCCAAAAAGTTGCAGCAGAGGCTTTTTGCTTGAGCGAAAGGGAACACGATAAAAGAGACGCAGCTGACGGCCTCCTATCCTTATGTGAAAATAGTACAACATCCCGTGATATCCAAAGGATCAAGACGAACTTCTTGTTTTAAAGAAAAAAGATGCTGCTGCTCAAACCAACCTAACTCATGAACATCTTAAAACTTATGCGACTGAGTCATTTGTTAACACCAGCAGTATACAGAAATGCATGTTTTTAGAAAATGTGGTTAACGATTCAGCCCATTATACAGGTATAAAATTTCATTTTTTACTATGTTGATTATAACTTGATATAATTGCTTATGTTGGAAGCTATTGGAAATAATAAAGGACTTTGTGAGCTACTCTGAATTAATTTATCTGTAGGCCTACCAGGTGAAATGTTGAAAATACTTTTTGAGTTCGTGAAAGCAAAGGCTTCCAGGCTTATCAAATGGAAAGTGAAGAAAACAGCAAAATATAAACAAGAAAAAAAGAGCAGTGCTAGGGTACAGTAATATATAATCTTACATATTGCTCAAGTAAATACTCAAGTTAATAGATGTGTAATGCAGTTAATAGCTCCCTATGTATAATGAATGATAAGCACTTAATCATTTTTATAGATCCACAAAACTTCTACATGGGCTAAACTTTCAGTTTATGAGCAATATATATTCACATTGGTCAGGATCAAAAGATTCCCTAGTCTCAAGATGTTATGTGATTTATTTGGAGTGTCAGAAACTGTTGGTAGCAGCATATTCTTGACATGGGTGAAGTTTCTTGAGAAGGAATTAAAGTTATTTATTCCATTTACCACTTTAAAAGACATGGAAGGAATAACCCGGCCTAAAGTTTACGAATCTAATCCATGTCTTCGTGCAATAATTGATTGCACAGAAATCTATAAACAAAAACCTTCTCTTTCTTCAAGTCAACGTCGGACACATAGTAACTACATAGGCAGAAACACCTTCAAACTATTTATTTCCATGTCACCGCTTCTACATATCAACTATATCTCTACATTGTTCAGTGGTTGCATAAGCGACAAGGAAATCATCAAGAGATGTGGATTGTTGGAAGAGTTAGCTGCAGGGGATGGCTGACAAAGGATTTAATATCCAGGATTTACTTGCCCTTCGACATGTCCGTTTAATTTCACCTCCAATTAAGCATAAAGGTAATGTTGGCACTGGTGCAACAACAATGACAAGGAGAGTAGCTACAAAGAGGATTCACATTGAAAGAATTATACAACTGAAGTCATTTAGTATATTACAAGGTGTAATCCCATTAAGAATGAAACCATATATTGATTCTGTTGCGTCTATCTGTGCAGCATTGGTTAATTTGCAACCACAGATTATTGCATCACCTTAAAAACATTGTATATAGAAGTTTTAAAAATATATACAATAAAATATTCCTTTGTGTTGATAAACTTAGATCAATGCAGAGTAAACAATGTGTGCAAAGTTCTGTGCCATTTATTTCCTTCCATTGTGGCATCCTTGTTACTGAACCATTTATGCTCCATGACAATGAAATCATTGGGACATTTCTCATATTTTTCAATATTCTAAAAAATGTTGCGAGATTGAAAAAGTAAGCACTCTTCCCTATGTAATTGCATTGAGTATATCTTTCCTATTATTAAGCTCTAACTTGAAGAAACATGTAGTTTCCATAAATACCTTCAAGAAGTATTTAATAAAAATTGATACAAAAACAGCACAGAGGTTTGAAGAGATTTCCTGCTGTGGGACCTACCAAATAATGCATATAGCAAGATTTATTTGCACAATATATTTTATTGGTGGCATGATAAGAACTCACTTTTAACAGATGAATGAGAATCTTGATCTTCGAGCCATTTACACTCCTTACTTGTAACACTATCCTCTCCTCTAGAATTAAGCAGATCATCAAGAGAATACAAAGCAGATGATACATGCTTACATCCACCATCTCTACCACCAAGACAACAGCAATACGTATCAAGCACACTGCCGCGATTAGACCCGTTTCCTTCCAATATAAACCATAAATCGTAAACGTCTTTACCATCTTTAGTCATTTCTTTCATTGTAGGCTTAACCTTGCCTATATAAACATGGACCCCAGCATCTTGCCTGTATGCTGTTAGCAAAGACTCAACATATCCATCGTAAAACAAACGATAGTTCTCGAACGACTTATAGGCTGCAAGACCCTGCTTGTCGTATTCTGATGAATGATATATAAGATGATTAAATATATCAAACAAGCCGAACGGGGGTGAATTTTTAAAATCATTTCAAACATTAATCGTAGATGGATCCGGCAGCTCAACGTCATGGATGGTCAAACGACAACTTAAATTTACTTGCTGCTCGGCTATACTGACTTGCGGGATCAATGGAATGTTCATTTTTTCCACTGCACATGCAATGGCTACTAGTCCCGGCTTCA